AATAACATACACACTCAATTGAGTATGGAAAGCTTTCTTTCCCTACAGGAAAATAGGGAGGAAGGGGATAAGAGAGCAGTAGGATGATAGAAAGGAAAGCAGATTGGGGGAGGGGGTAATAAGAAGTGAATACTTCTGAGGAGGAACAGGGTAAAAAGAAGAGAATAAATGGGGGGCTAAATGGGGGGGATAGGATTAAGGGAAATAGAGTTAGTTTTTCATAACTTGTCTACTATGGAAGTGTTTTGCCTAACTGCACATACATAACCTATATTTAGTTGCTTGCCTTATCAATGAGGGTGGGTGGGGAGGGAGGAAGGGAGAAAATTTTAAAGTTTTAAGAACACATGTTTAAAAAACATGTTTTCACAGGCAACTGGGAAATAAGAAATACAGGAAATGAGGTACAGAAATCCATCCTGCCCTATAAGAAAATTGAAGGGGAAAGGGATAAGAAAAGGGGGGGAGATATAGAAGGGAAGGCAGACTAGGGGAAGGGGTATTCAGAATGCATGCCATCTTGGGGTGGGGGGAGGGGCGAGATGGGGTGAAAATTTGGAACTCAAAATCTTGTGGAAGTAAATGTTGAAAACAAAAAAATAGATAAAAATTACCATAATATAAAAAATCTAAAAAAATAAAAAAGAATAAGATGAAGGGAAAGATAGTTAGTTTTCCACAGCATGACTATTATGGAAGTGTTTTGCATAATTACACAAGTATAACCTGTATTGAGTTGCTTGCCTTCTCAATGAGGGTGGGTGGGGAGGGAAGAAGGGAGAAAATTTGGAACCCAAAGTTTAAAAACAAATGTTAAAAAAGTTGTTTTCATATACAACTGGGAAATAAGATATACAGGCAATGGAGTATAGAAATCCATCCTGCTCTACAGGAAAATAGAAGAGGAAGGGGATAAGAGAAGAGGGGGGAGATAGAAGGGAGGGCAGATTAGGGGAAAGGGTATTCAGAATGCATGCTATCTTTGGGTTGGGTGAGGGATGAAATAGGGAGAAAATTTGGAACTCAAGATCTTGTGGAAGTGACTGTTGAAAACTAAAAATAAATAAATTAATGAATCTTAAAAAAGAAAAAAGACAATTGTCCTTGTATGTAATTGGAAAAAAATAAAATACTATTTAAAAAAGCAGTTTAAAAAAAGTAGTTAAGTGGCTTGCTTGAGGTCACACAGCTAGTAAATATCTGAGGCTGGATTTAAACTCCCCTCTTGCTGAGTCAAGGCCCCATTGCACCACCTAGAAGCCTTGCTTTACAATAGCACTTCATTTATTCTGTAACATGTATTAAGTGCCTGTAGTTAGAGAGGAAACGTAGCTCTTGCCCCCAAGGAGCTTGCAGTCTACCTCGCATTTGGTCTTGTTCTTA